CATCATCATCAACAGCAGGTAGAGAGAGAGAGACATCATCATCAGCAGGTAGAGAGACATCAACAGCCGGGAGAGACATCATCAGCAGAGAGAGACATCAGAGAGAGAGAGAGACATCAACAGCAGGTAGAGAGAGAGACATCATCAGCAGCAGAGAGACATCAGCAGAGAGAGAGACATCATCATCATCAGCAGGTAGAGAGAGAGACATCAACAGCAGGTAGAGAGAGAGACATCATCATTAGGTAGAGAGACATCATCAGCAGGTAGAGAGAGAGAGACATCAACAGGAGAGAGAGACATCAGCAGGTAGAGAGACATCAGCAGAGAGACATCAACAGCCGGGAGAGACATCATCAGCAGAGAGAGACATCAGAGAGAGAGAGAGAGACATCATCAGCAGGTAGAGAGACATCATCAGCAGGTAGAGAGACATCATCAGCAGGGAGACATCATCAGCAGAGAGAGACATCAGAGAGAGAGAGAGAGACATCAACAGCAGAGAGAGACAGACATCATCAGCAGGTAGAGAGACATCATCAGCAGGGAGACATCATCAGCAGAGAGATACATCATCAGCAGAGATAGAAAGACATCATCAGCAGAGAGAGAGAGAGACATCATCAGCAGGGAGACATCATCAGCAGAGAGAGACATCAGCAGAGAGACATCATCAACAGAGAGAGAGACATCAGCAGCAGCAGAGAGACATCAGCAGAGAGAGAGAGAGAGACATCATCAGCAGAGAGAGACATCATCAGCAGGGAGACATCATCAGCAGAGAGAGACATCATCAGCAGGGAGACATCATCAGCAGGGAGACATCATCAGCAGAGAGAGACATCAGCAGAGAGACATCATCAACAGAGAGAGAGACATCAGCAGCAGCAGCAGAGAGACATCAGCAGCAGCAGCAGAGAGACATCAGCAGAGAGAGAGAGAGAGACATCATCAGCAGAGAGAGACATCATCAGCAGGGAGACATCATCAGCAGAGAGAGACATCATCAGCAGGGAGACATCATCAGCAGGGAGACATCATCAGCAGAGAGAGACATCAGCAGAGAGACATCATCAACAGAGAGAGAGACATCAGCAGCAGCAGCAGAGAGACATCAGCAGCAGCAGCAGCAGAGAGACATCATCAGCAGAGAGAGACATCATCAGAGAGACAAAGGTGATCTCAGTGTCCGTCTGTCCGCGTCTCGCAAAGACTCCCCGGAGCGGCCTCCTCCTGCTCCTGCTGCGGCCTCCTCCTCCTGCTGCTGCTCCTGCTGCTGCCTCCTGCTGCTGCTGCCTCCTCCTCCTCCTGCTGCTGCCTCCTCCTGCTCCTGCTGCGGCCTCCTCCTGCTGCTGCTGCTCCTGCTGCTGCCTCCTGCTGCTGCTGCCTCCTCCTCCTCCTGCTGCTGCCTCCTCCTGCTCCTGCTGCGGCCTCCTCCTGCTGCTGCTGCTCCTGCTGCTGCCTCCTCCTGCTGCTGCCTCCTCCTCCTGCTGCTGCCTCCTCCTCCTGCTCCTGCTGCTGCCTCCTGCTGCTCCTGCTGCTGCTGCCTCCTCCTGCTCCTGCTGCTGCTGCCTTCTGCTGCTGCTGCCTCCTCCTGCTGCTGCGGCCTCCTCCTCCTGCTGCTCCTCCTGCTGCTGCTGCCTCCTCCTGCTGCTCCTCCTCCTCCTGCTGCTGCTGCTGCTGCCTCCTCCTGCTGCTGCCTCCTCCTCCTGCTGCGGCCTCCTCCTCGTGACGGTGAGCGGCGCGGAGTGACGGGACGCGAGGCCATGAGGCCAGGGTCGGGCCGCCCTCCAAAGCCGCCGCCGCCGCCGTCGCCGGCGGCTTCTCAGCACCACGCAAGCGACACCCACGGCACCAGCCACCCACACACACGCCTGCCTGCTGCTGCTGCTGCTGTATATTTAGAGTTTGTGGTGTCGCTCATCATCATCATCACAGGTGTGAGATGTTAACTACCTCGCCTGGTACACAGGAGGTCTGTGGGTTCCATCCTGACCCCTGACGATGCCTGCTGCTGTATATTTAGAGTTTGTGGTGTCGCTCATCATCATCATCATCGCAGGTGTGAGATGTTAACTACCTCGCCAGGTACACAGGAGGTGTCGTGGGTTCAATACCGCCTCTGCGATGCCTGCTGCTGTATATTTAAAGTTTGTGGTGTCTCTCATCACCATCATCACAATGACGATATGTTAACTACCTCGCCTGGTACACAGGAGGTCTGTGGGTTCGATCCTGACCCCTGACGATGCCTGCTGCAGTATATTTAGAGTTCGTGGTGTCTCTCATCATCATCATCACAATGACGATATGTTAACTACCTCGCCTGGTACACAGGAGGTCTGTGGGTTTCATCCTGATACCTGACGATGCCTGCTGCTGCTGTATATTTAGAGTTTGTGGTGTCTCTCATCATCATCATCATCACAGGTGTGGGATGTTAACTACCTCGCCTGGTACACAGGTGTCGTGGGTTCAATACCGCCCCTGCGATGCCTGCTGCTGCAGTATATTTAGAGTTTGTGGTGTCTCTCATCATCATCATCACAATGACGAGATGTTAACTACCTCGCCTGGTACACAGGAGGTCTGTGGGTTCAATACCGACCCTGACGATGCCTGCTTGCTGCTGTATATTTAGAGTGTGTGGTGTCTCTCATCATCATCATCACAATGACGAGATGTTAACTACCTCGCCTGGTACACAGGAGGTGTCGTGGGTTCGATCCCTGACGATGCCTGCTGCTGCTGTATATTTGCAGTTTGCGGTGTCTCTCTCTCTGCCCCGTGGTCGGGTTGTTACCATCCATGTTTTAGAATCAACATCACGGCGTTTCGAGAGTATTTGGCTGTGGTTATTTCCACAATAGACGATGACGGCAAGCCACGATGGGGGTCTTACCTGGTATAATAAAAATATAACACTATGGGGTCTTACCTGGTTTAATAAAAATATAACACCATGGGGTCTTACCTGGTATAATAAAAATATAACACCATGGGGTCTTACCTGGTATAATAAAAATATAACACCATGGGGCCTTACCTGGTATAATAAAAATATAACACCATGGGGTCTTACCTGGTATAATAAAAATATAACACCATGGGGTCTTACCTGGTATAATAAAATATAACACGATGGGGTCTTACCTGGTATAATAAAAATATAACACCATGGGGCCTTACCTGGTATAATAAAAATATAACACGATGGGGTGTTACCTGGTATAATAAAAATATAACACGATGGGGTCTTGCCTAGTATAATAAAAATATAACACCATGGGGTCTTACCTGGTATAATAAAAATATAACACGATGGGGTGTTACCTGGTATAATAAAAATATAACACGATGGGGGTCTTACCTGGTATAATAAAAAATATAACACGATGGGGTCTTACCTGGTATAATAAAAATATAACACCATGGGGTCTTACCTGGTATAATCAAAATATAACACGATGGGGCCTTACCTGGTATAATAAAAATATAACACGATGGGGCCTTACCTGGTATAATAAAAATATAACACCATGGGGTCTTACCTGGTATAATAAAAATATAACCCCATGGGGTCTTAGCTGGTATAATAAAAATATAACACCATGGGTCTTACCTGGTATAATAAAAATATAACACCATGGGGTCTTAGCTGGTATAATAAAAATATAACACCATGGGCCTTATCTGGTATAATAAAAATATAACACCATGGGGTCTTACCTGGTATAATAAAAATATAACACCATGGGGTCTTACCTGGTATAATAAAAATATAACACCATTGGGTCTTACCTGGTATAATAAAAATATAACACCATGGGGTCTTAGCTGGTATAATAAAAATATAACACCATGGGTCTTATCTGGTATAATAAAAATATAACACGATGGGGTGTTACCTGGTATAATAAAAATATAACACCATGGGGTCTTACCTGGTATTAAAAAAATATAACACCATGGGGTCTTACCTGGTATAATAAAAATATAACACCATGGGGTCTTAGCTGGTATAATAAAAATGTAACACCATGGGGTCTTACCTGGTATGATAAAAATATAACACCATGGGGTCTTAGCTGGTATAATAAAAATGTAACACCATGGGGTCTTACCTGGTATAATAAAAATATAACACCATGGGGTCTTGCCTGGTATAATAAAAATATAACACCATGGGGTCTTAAATTTCGATTTAAAGCTTTCGTGACTGCAATGATTCATCTTCTTTGGTTCTTTCGGTAAAGTCACGTAGAATGAGAATAAAATAATAAATTGATAAAATAAAATAACACAATAATATTCTCACGACGTTTCGGCCACAACACAAGCGGCCTTCATCAGGTGAAGGGAGCGAGACTGTCTGGTAGGACAGCGCTGGAGTGGTCCTACCAGACAGTCTCGCTCCCTTCACCTGATGAAGGCCGCTTGTGTTGTGGCCGAAACGTCGTGAGAATATTATTGTGTTATTTTATTTTATCAATTTATTATTTTATTCTCATTCTACGTGACTTTACCGAAAGAACCAAAGAAGACCATGGGGTCTTGCCTGGTATAATAAAAATATAACACGATGGGGTCTTACCTGGTTTAATAAAAATATAACACGATGGGGTCTTACCTGGTATAATAAAAAATAGTTTTTCTCGGTGCCATTCGGTTTTTCCCTCCACATTTAGAATCAACAAACATGACGCGTTTAGAGTATTTGGCTGCTAGAAATTTCCACGTGACAAGCCACTTTCGTTGAGCTATCGCTTGTGATGGCCACGTCGCTGCTGAGAAAGAGCTATACACAGCTCCAATGCCTTACCTGGTCAAATAAAAAAATAGTATTTTTTTATCTTGATTTGAGGCTTTCGTGACTGCAGGAATCCATACTCGTTCGGTTCTTTCGGTAAAGTCACGTAGGTAGAAAAATAAAATAAAATTTGTTTTTATTTTAAAATGTTATTTTATTTTTCTACCTACGAAAAAATAAAAGATTTTTTTCTTTTATTTTTCAACCGACGTGACTTCACCGAAAGAACCAAAGAGTATAGTTTTTTTTTAGTTTATAGTTTCCTGCCAAAGCCCATTTGCTTTTGTTAACAGTGACAACGATTTTGATTTAAAGCTGTGGTTTTCACACGTGATGATGATTGCTTGTGTTGCAGTCGAAACGTCGTGAGAATTTTATTGTTTTTATATTTTTATTATTTTATTGTTTCCCTTCTACGTGACTTTACCGAAAGAAACAAGAATATCGTGACAACGATGTACAGTATATGTATCCTCTGTATGTTCTCCAGTCTATGTTTATTTGTTTTCGTCCGAGTGTAATTCCACGTCTTGCATATCTCATTGCTTTGCATGCTTTAAAGTTTTTTTTTCTTCCCCACTCTCTTTGTTAATGACGACGATTTGTGATCGATACATCATAGCAGATAGCCCGCATACACTAAAACAAAAACACAACACACCTCCGCATGTTACTTTTCAATCGAATGTCCAGATTACCAATAATCACTGCAGCCTTCCCCTCTATTTAATTATTTTGATTCCGGTATAACCTCAATAGCTGTAACTAGGTGTATATGCTGCTGTGTCCCTCTGACAGATATCTCCCAATTGTTGAGTGAACTTGTACATGATCCCTGTTTTTGCTCAAAGGTAATCTACAGCCGTCCCTATGAAGCCCTGCTAATATTTCCCGCGGTTCATTCACATTGGATGTTATAACAGCCGTTGTCAGCAGTCTCCGATTAGCACGGTTGGCTACGTACGGTGCAAAAGAAGTTCAACATACATACGCACATCTAAGATGGCCGATGCCTCCAATAATATTCATGCCTCAGCCTTGTATCTTCTGATGTCACTGTGTACAACTTTGGCGACAGCATCTCGCGCATAAGGTTTGCTTATATCCGACTACCGCTGTATAATGTAAACCCATCATCTCCCCGCAGCCGAATCGCAGCATGGCGTGCGCGGTGGCCGCCCCGCTGCCGGAGCCGATCGGGGACTTCCCGGCGTGGCTGGAGGCGCAGGGCGTGAACGCGGAGGTGGCCCGGGCCATGGACTCGGAGCTGGGCATCCGGGACTACGGGGTCCTGCGCGCCTGCGTCGGGGACGGCCTCGTGCGGGCCGAGCTGCTGGCCGCGGCGCGCGACCGCCTGCCCTTCGGCTTCTACGCCGTGCTGCGGCAGGTGGTGAAGGCCCTGCGGGGCGCCGAGCCTCACGACGCCGACGACGATGCCGCGGCCGCCTCCTCCCCTTGTGGCGACGTGACGCTGGGAGGCCTGGTGGACGTGCTGCTCGAGCTGTTCAGCGGCCTGAGCCGGGAGCTGCTGTTGTGCGTGCAGAGGCTGAATGAGTGGGACGGGGTTCAACCTCCCGGGGCCTCGACGGCCACGGATGTTGGCAGCCTTGAAGATGCGACGACAGCTGAAATGGATTACGGTGTTGTAAAAAATATGTTTTTGCGCATCAACCCGTGATATATCTTTTTTTTGTTCATAGAGCAATGTATGCACGTACGTTGAGCTTCTTTGACGCCGTACGTAGCCGACCGTGCTAGTCGGAGGTGTTCTTCTAGTTTTTTGAATTGGCAAAAGTTATGGCAGTAATAAATATTACCTTGTATAGGGAACAAAAAATACGGCGGATTAAGAAGGGCCTCAAGCGTAAACGATAGCCAATTACTGTACGGTATATTTGTTTCTCAAAAAGGGGAGAGTTCGTGCAGCCGTTAGCTCGCTGTATTGTCACCTGAGTTGATTTTCCGAGCCAGTTGCTCACATCCGTGGCAGAGTGATGTTAGATCTATTCCTGGACCACTCTCTCACCAGTTCACACGGAGCAGTATAGTGACGCATGATCAAACAACCTCCCTGCACTCGACTGCATTCATGCTAGATGTCATCTTTCTGGCCATTCTAGAACACCGTTAAAATCTTACATCAGCGACGTCCATATATGTAAAATATGTTGATGCGTTTTTTTGGGTCTGTTGCAGATGAGCTTGAAGAGGTATCGACTCCAGTCGTGGGTGACTTCACACGCAGCTTGACAGTGAACCGTGTTAAAATGGAGCCCTTTGAAGGTCCTGTACAGCCTCTGCTTGATTCGTGTGCATGTATATACAGTAAAACCTTGGATTGCGAGCATAATTCGTTCCGGAAACGTGTTTGTAATCCAAAGCACTCGTATATCAAAGCACTCGTATATCAGTTGTGATCACGTGACGCTCGGCAGTACAAAGCGTGTATACGTACTACTACTCGTATTGCAAGACCCTCGCTCGTTTATCAAATTAATATTTATTTAATAATTTTTCTCGTCTTGCAAAACACTCGCAGACCAAGTTACTCGCAATCCAAGGTTTTACTGTATGTTGCAATTTCGCACCGTACGTAGCCAACCGTGCAAATCGGAGGTGCGGGGGGAAGGACAACAAACTAAGCACAAAAAGCAGCTGTAGAGAAATGAGTTTTCATTCTAAATTTAAAAGTGCATAGCTCGAGCGGTTTCCTAATATCGGGAGGAAGAGCATTCCAGACGGCCGCAGAAGCGCATCCTGAAAGCGCCGCGCGATGCGGTGACCACCGTCTTTGTTCGATGGCCAGCCCGAAAAGCCGCTGCTGCGAAGATGACCGGAGTTTGTGTGATGGTGGTTTATGCTCCTTGATGAGATCAGCAGGGGTATTGTGGTTCATTTGTGGCCAAGCAAATAAGCAAAACATTCCCCATGTGTATAGAGTTCTATGAATCCATTTGCAAGACCTTCCTCTTCCCTGCGTATGACTCGTCCATGAAGCTGTAAACTCTTTTATTTTACCAGGTAAGGCCCACTGAGCTACTGTATAGCTCTTTTTCAGAAGTGACCTGGCTGTCTCACATATGATAGCTCAACGAAGTGGCTCATCGCCTGGACATGTATAGCTGTAGCCAGATACTCTAAATGCGTGATGTTGATTCGAAATGTGGAGGGGAAAAACGGAGGACCTGGAGAAAAATCAACGTGACCACGGGAATAGAGAGAGACACCGCAAACTCCAAATATCAAATCCACGACCTCCTGTACACCAAACCCACGACCTTCTGTATACCAGGCAAGGTAGTTAACATCTCGCCACTGTGGCGCCCACTGAACGTTTACAACAACAAAGTGCAAAGTATAGGAAAGGTAAGAAAATCACTAAAAAAATACTTTGTTTCATCACTTTCTCGATGCGATTCGATTTGCGGACAGCCAAAATCGCGGACAGCCAAGTTCATGATGAACGAGGGAATAATATTTAAGACCGAAACAGGAGGAGGATATCTCCACAATTCTGGCTGTTGCCTGATGAGGCTGGTTCTTGTAATTAACAGCGACGTGGCTCAACGAAGTGGCCTATCACGTGGAAATGTATAGCAGGAGCCAAATACTCTTGAACGCATGTTCATTCTAAATGTGGAGGGAAAAACCCGAGAACCTAGAGGAAAATCCACGCGGCCACGGGGGAGAACACGTAAACTCCAAATATACAGGCGTCAGGATCAAACACGACGACCTCCTGTATACCAGGCGAGGTAGTGAACATCTCGCCACCGTGGCACCCATTTAGATGCCGCGTGGATACAAAGTGAATTGCGTTGTCTTGCAAGCGACGGCCTACGAATGGTCTCCAAAACCTCTCGCGTCATTTATTCAGACCTCACTCGCCACGTGAACGTCGTTGGGTCCTTGTCCCGTCGTGTTTTCCAGATGCCGGCAAAGATTTCGCAAATCCTGTGCCGGTACCTCGGCCGTCGGAGATCGGCTCTGTCGCGCAAACTACAAACGAGCCACTTGGTAAGAGAGCGAGCGAGCGAGGCTGATGGCGTCCACCACTAATGCAGTCTCGGGGGCGACTTTAAGAACACCGAGACTCGGTGCAGCAGATGTGGGCGCCAGCATCTCGCGGGATTATCTGCCATTAACAGCCTCTCGCTGCGGGAATGCTAATTCGTTTCCCCAAACTACAATTGATAATTAGGCTGCGTGGCACGCACACCCCTTCTAAGCCTCAGCAGGCTTCACCATCCACCGTCATATGTGTTGGGCCTCAAACTTAGAACGTCACCAGCGACACATTTACGCATTCAAGTCTCGTCACTTTTCCCACTCGTAACAAGCGCACAGCACGTGTCATGGAACCCGTTTGCCAGTACCAGAGTATGAAAAATAAGAATAGGCTTTTCCCCTTCTGGCAATAAAACAGGCGTTAAGATGTTCAAACATCATATAGACACCTTTTGCAAGCAATCAAGTGTTGCATTAACCACACGTACTTGCGGTGAACACGCAAACAAACCCGCTCTGATAATATACGCAATGTACACGTACGCGTGCATATTATGCGGCGACATTTTTTCGCGTTTTTTTTATTTAATGAAATGCGCTACGGTCCGTGAACCGGTGTATTTTCCCATGAAGGCAAACGTCCCTTGGCCGGCTACGCGAACCTCATCGCGCAGAACATGGCCTCGCAGCCGGCGGCCAGAACAACCGCGGCGCTTGCGGCCGGAATTCGTCCTCGTCCGTGGCCGTGGCAGCGGCAGCAGCAGCAGGAGGCGGCCGAAACGCACGGCGAAGAAACAGCCGCCGCCTCCTTCGCCAGATTCGACCCACCGACGCGGCGGCGGCCGTTTGCGCCGAGCGACGCGACCGCCGGCGGAACGTTCCCGCCGAGCCGCGGGCAGGCGCTGCCCGCCGACGGCGGGGACGATGCGCCGTACGCCTTTCATCCCGGGAAGCCCCTCGGTCCGCCGGAGGGCGCCGGGGAGAGGCCGTCCTGGCGCGAGCCGTGCGGCCCGAGGCGGCAGCGGCGGCGGCGCGCGGGCGAGCGGCCGTGCCGCTGCGAGGCGCGCGGGCGGACGTTCTCGCGGGGCTGCCGCGCCAAGCCGCGCGTGCGGGCGCACGCGGGCGACCGGTCGTACCGCTGCGACGTGTGCGGCAAGGTGTTCACGCGCGCCACCGTGCTGCGCTTCCACCAGCGCTTGCACGCGGACGACAGCCCGTGAGCGTCGCGAGCGAGCTGAGCTGAGCTGAGCTGATGAGCTCTTGCAAGCGGTGGTCGCCGCCATTCAGCAGCTTTGCTTTGGACAGAGGTAGACCTCTCCGATGTGTTTTTAGGGCTGTACTGCGTGTTGTTCGGAATTTTGCCCCAGCATTTCGCTCCACGCGCTGCTGGGAGCTTTTCTTCAGCTCCCCTCTCTTTGCGTCTGCATGTGCGGATGTTGTTTTGCGTGCGCCTGTTTTTTGGGGTGTATTTGCACGTGTGGGGAACCGGTAGCTTTCCGCACCTCCGATTCGCACGGTTGGATACGTACGGTGCGAAAGAAGTTCAACGTACATATGTATGTAGACTCGAACAGAGACCCATACACTACTGACACAGAGACCCATAGTTAGTTGTCCTTCCCCCCCCCCCCCCCCCCCCGCAGATTCCATTAGCACGGTTGGCTACGTACGATGCGAAAGAATACTCTTTGGTTCTTTCGGCAAAGTCACGTAGGTATAAAATAAATTAAATCACGACGTTTCGGGCGCAACACAAGCGTCCGTCATCAGGTGGGGACAACCACAGCAAGAAACAATTGCTGAAGTAGGCAAAAGAGCGGCTTGTAACAAGGGGTTATATAGATGAGGGAGGGGGGAGGAGCCAAGGATAGAGTGTGGGGGCGGGGCGTGGGTCAGAGGGGAGTGTAAAGCGGCATGCTCGAAATACAATGGCAAATTTCCAAGTGATGGGAGTGAGCAGGGCTGGGCGTAAGAAACTGGAGATGCGGATATGAAAGCAAACTATGAAGCAGCTAAGGTTTCACTTGGTTAATAACATCCTTCCAATGATTGCTCAGTTTGTATCCATCTTCTCGGTTGAAGTTATGTTTATATATCTGGATGGCTTCATGAACAAACCTTTGATAGCAAATCTAGAATGGTGCGAAAGAAGTTCTACCCACATGCGTAGTGGTGAGCGTATGGCAGTCCAACTTAAGCGCCCCCGAGATTAGTTCCCGACCGCGGCTTGTGTCAGTGGTGATTGTTGGAACCGGTCCTGGGTCTCCTCTAAGTCAACTTAGCCTTGAACGAGTACCTGTTGCGGTGTGTGAATATCGGCACTCGGCAGATAAAGGAGGCTAGGCTCGGGCGCTGACCATTACTATCCCCTCATGCGCCGTGCCAGTCTTAATAGGTGCTCGTTAACAATGCCTGTCCCAACAGCCTGCATATGCCATAAGGGGGAATCGTTATATTTGCGCTTGTGTGTGCATGTATGCGTGTTTGCTGCTGAACTTGGATCATGCCACTAAGAGGTGGGGCCTTACCATCAGCCCCACCAAACTGAGCACCTGCCTGGGCATTTTGTATCATCCAAACTCCACCCCCTCAACTCCCCATCAGTGATGGGACATTCATGAAGAGAATGGAGAAGTTTCCGTGCGTGGGTAGTGTGCTTGTGACCAGCACTCCGAATCAGCCAAGCGGCATTATCTTTTTGTCAGCGACGTAACTCTGCGTGGAAGCTACCTGGTCTGCTGCTCCACACAAAGCTCCGGATCTTCTCTGCCACAATCGATGCCCTCCCTTCTCTTTGCAAAACGTGGACCCTTCTCATGCAACATCTGCACCGGTTTGAATCTTTCAGGTTGGCCTGCCTACAATCCATCCTGTGTTTAAACAGGTTGGATTGTGCAAAGAGCTCGCATATCCTTGAAAGATCTGGACACATTCCCATCGGTGAGCGCCTCCGGCGGGCAAGGCTGCGTTGGCTGGGTCATGTAGCCCGCATACCCAGTCACTGCATGCCCAAGCAGCTTCTGTTTGGCCGGAGGGAGCTAAATAGGCACGGCACAGGCTGGAAAAGTTATGGAATATGGTGCGGGAGGATGTGGAGCTGAATGGACTTGCCGAAGACTAATACCAGCGGTGTCAAGATTGGCTTCTATGGAGGAGGCTCGTGAAGGGTGCTACTGGGAAGTTTGAGGCAGTCGCCTTCCAACAATAGTGGGCGACAGGAGCGATGCTCACAACAATGAGCAGATTGCCGGGCGGCTAAAATACAGCAAGTTGGCACAGTAGGGAGAACGGGTGGCACATCAGCCATTCATCTATATCAGTCAACCCATGGTACCTGAATCGGTCCCGTGATCTCCTGCCAGCAGCAGCAGTGATCCATCGACACTTCATTCACATGGGTGGCCTCAAAGTGCAACCTAGCCTGGCACAGGTGCCGTGGTGACGTCACCACCACTTAGTGGCAAATGGGTGGCTGCGTTGTTGGCAGTCGCCGGAAATTCGAGTTGCATTCCCGCTCCATAACTGATTACAGTGGCAAATATTTTAACCGGTCCTGGGGCCTCCCCTAGATTGACTCAGCCTAAAAAATCCGTAACTATTGCGGTGTGTAAATATCAGCACTGGGGAGATAAAGGCGGCAGGCCGTGGTGCCGGCCACCCACCCCCTCGTGTGCCGTGCCAGCCAGCTAACAGCACTTGTCCCAGCAGTCTGTCAAGGCTATACGTGGATGTGTTCTGATGGTGTATATGTACCTTAATTGTAATTGTACTATGATCAGTGTAAAAAAATAATTTGCCTGAAACAGGAAGACTTCTTCACAATTCTGGCTAATCGCCTGATGATGCTAGTTGTAATCACCAGTGAAACATCGTACCCTTATTGTAAATGTTGTGGGTTTTCTCTCGAACACACAACCGGTGTGTGCTGAACGAGCAACTAGTTGACTTAAAGCTTTCGTGACTGCAGGAATTCATATTCGTCATCAGGAAAAGCTGGTGACGACCGCTTGTGTTGCGATTGAAACGTCGTAGTTTTTTTCTTTGGTTCTTTCCGTAAAGTCACGTAGAATGAGAATAAAATAATAAAATAACACAATACAATTCTCACGACGTTTCGGCCACAACGCAAGCGGCCGTGTTCAGGTGAAAGGTCACGACGTTTCGGCCACAACGCAAGCGGCCGTCTTCAGGTGAAAGTTCTGTACCTTTCACCTGAAGACGGCCGCTTGCGTTGTGGCCGAAACGTCGTGATAATTTTATTGTGTTATTTTATTATTTTATTCTCATTCTACGTGGTGACTTTACCGAAATAACCAAAGAAGGTCCAACACGTTTCCTTTTTTCGTTACGGACGAGCGTTTCACATTTGATTCTCGCGAAAGTGAACGATACGTTTGCCAAAAAACGTCGACCGCACGATTAAAGCCGTCGTTCTTTTCATGGCGAACGACACACACATTCGCGGGCGGCGCCCTGCTCGACGAGACCTCGAGGCAAGGAAGTGCCCCCCCCCCCCTCCTCTGGAAAGCTGCGGCGAGCCGTTGCGGGCGTCGCCCCCTTCGTTAACAAAGGGGCGAGCCACCTAAAAGTACTTCGAATATCGTCACCTGGCAATGCACGGGTCGTAGTGTGACGTGGAACTCTTTCCTTAACATAAGGGCCGAATTGGACAGGTTTTGGTGGGGGTGGGGGGGGTTTATTCCTTTGGCAAGCCACACGTTTTTGGGTTTTTTTTAAAATGAGTTTTTTGCTGGACACAAGAACTAAGGCCCTGCTGCAGAACGTCGGTGCGACAAAAAGGCGCAGGCATGTTTTTAACACGCGCGCACGCACACACGCACACACGCGTGCACGCACACACGCACACAGGCACGCGCACACACGCGTGCACACACGCACGCACGCACACGCAATTCGGTCGCTTCCATCGCTGCAAAAGGCGGCCCTTGCATCATTGATGGATAAATATACGTGGGCTGCCAGAATCGCCCGAAATCAAAATGCGCCCAATCTCATCGGATCTGGGGGGGGGGGGGGGGGGGGGGGGGGGGGGGGGGGGGAAGCAAAGCAGGCTTGAGCGCCTGGATAGTGCTTGCAAGAGCTATGGGGACTACGTGGTGGGCAGTGCAAGCAAAGTCTATTGTTGTACTGTGCTCCTGTGCCACCTCCTTCTCATCTCCAATAATCCCACGCTGACCGCGTGTGAAAGTGTGGGCATCGGCGGCTGAGCGCTACGCTGCGCTACGAACCCGGGGACCCGGGTTCGATTCCCGCTCACGGCCAACACCCAGTGACGATTATCTGAACCGGTCCTGGGCCTCCCCTAGGTTGACTCCGCCTCAAATGAGATGGGTACCTGGTGCGGTGTGTAGTAAACATCGCCACCGGGGAGACAAAGGCGGCCGGACGTGGTGTTGGCCACCCACCCCCTCGTGTGCCGTGCCGGCCTTCACAGGTGCTCGCTAACAGCACTTGCCCCTTCAGTCTATTAAGGCTATATGGGGGGGGTCTTCGTTATCAGCCCCCCACCGCGACCTGCGCAGTGTGGGGGGCTCCCCAATCCAGCAGAGGATTGACAACGGCTGTCCATGTGCAAGGTTGAAAGGGGGTTGCGGGTTGCGACAGCGCAGTGGTTTAGTACACTGCTGTGAACCCGGCAAACCTGGGTTTGACTTTCACCCGCGGCTTGTGAACCCGGAAAACCTGGGTTTGACTTTCACCCGTGGCCCGTGAACCCAGAAAACCTGGGTTTGACTTTCACCTGCGGCTTGTGAACTCAGCAAACCTGGGTTTGACTTTCACCAGTGGCTTGTGAACCCGGCAAACCTGGGTTTGACTTTCACCCGTGGCTTGTGAACCCGGCAAACCTGGGTTTGACTTTCACCCGCGGCTTGTGAACCCGGCAAACCTGGGTTTGACTTTCACCCGCGGCTTGTGAACCCGGCAAACCTGGGTTTGACTTTCACCCGCGGCTTGTGAACCCAGAAAATCTGGGTTTGACTTTCATCCGTGGCTTGTGAACCCGGCAAACCTGGGTTTGACTTTCACCCGCGGCTTGTGAACCCGGAAAACCTGAGTTTGACTTTCACCAGTGGCTTGTGAACCCGGCAAACCTGGGTTTGACTTTCACCCGCGGCCTGTGAACCCGGCAAACCTGGGTTTGACTTTCACCCGTGGCTTGTGAACCCGGCAAACCTGGGTTTGACTTTCACCCGTGGCTTGTGAACCCGGCAAACCTGGGTTTGACTTTCACCCGCGGCTTGTGAACCCGGCAAACCTGAGTTTGACTTTCACCAGTGGGTTGTGAACCCGGCAAACCTGGGTTTGACTTTCACCCGCGGCTTGTGAACCCGGCAAACCTGAGTTTGACTTTCACCAGTGGCTTGTGAACCCGGCAAACCTGGGTTTGACTTTTACCGGCGGCCTGTGAACCCGGCAAACCTGAGTTTGACTTTCACCCGCGGCTTGTGAACCCAGAAAACCTGGGTTTGACTTTCACCCGCGGCTTGTGAACCCGGCAAACCTGGGTTTGACTTTCACCTGTGGCCTATGAACCCAAAAAACCTGGGTTTGACTTTCACCCGTGGGTTGTGAACCCAGAAAACCTGGGTTTGACTTTCACCAGTGGGTTGTGAACCCAGAAAACCTGGGTTTGACTTTCACCAGTGGGTTGTGAACCCGGCAAACCTGGGTTTGCCGGGTGCTCAGTTGTAGACAAAGCATTCGCAGGCAATTGAGGTTGTGCATTTTCGCTTGCAGCAACCGATAACTCACACACACACACACGTGTATCCGACTTTGTGGCGATCTTATCAGTAATAGTACATGTCTTAGTCGGGGTGTCCTGTGGGATAGAGCGGTGGTGCAGAGGTTTGCGCACTGCGCGATGAACCCCGGTGACCCTAGTTCGATTCCCCAGCCACAGCTAACATCAACGGTGATAGCTCAACCGGTCTTGGCCCTCCCCCCATCCACCTAACCTTTACCAACCTGCACGGAGATGTATGGCTAAACAAAAGCCCCAATGACCTTACACGGGATATGGAAGCATTCATCCAGCAAAGGATTAACAAAAGGGCTGTTCGTTTCTATATATTTTTATTGAAATGTACTGCGGTTACGTAACTCCTGTAGCCACAGGTGTCCAACTACTTTCACCTCGGAAGGTTAAAAGAGAATACATTTTTATGTATAGAAACCGCGACCCCTAATTTTGCGATTAAGTCATTTATTGGATTGCCGGAGGGAAGTTGGAGAGAAAAGGGACGAATGGTTAAGACAGTCGAGTTTTAACGTCGCATACAAGCAATCCCTCGCCAACCGCCAGGGTTAGGTTCCTGGAAAATGCCGCGGTAGGCAAATCCGCGGTTGATAAAAGTCCAGGGGGCGGCCTTCTATGGGCAATAGCGGGTTAGGGGAACCACGGCGACGGTCAGACTCGTCAACAAAAAATAAAAATTCACGACGTTTCGGCCACAACACAAGTGGCCTTCATCAGGTGATGAAGGCCACTTTTGATTGTTGTTTTTTTACGCGACTTTACCGAACAGAACCAAAGAGTATGGATCCTTGCAGTCACGAAAGCCTTTAAATTTAGAATTAACTAAACCCCGAATAAAAAAAAAACCCAGTACATTACACAATAACGTAATAATAAAATATAAACATCACATCAACTTTACATACCTTTAATGTTAACGAGGACAATGAGATGATGATGGGGGGGGAAGGGGTGCTTAGGAGGGGCTCGACTCACCATGCCCCCTCTTCCTGCGGGGCCACAGACGCAATGGTCTCGCCTTCACCGCTCGCTGCACGCTTCGGGCTGCCACGATTAAAGGCAAAGTTAATGCGACTGTGGTTGAGGTGTGACAATTACAGTACAACAAGACGGGCGGGCAGGCAGGCGATCGGCTACGCAGCCCAGGGGTGGCGCTGTTGGCGCGGAAAAACCACCACCACCAACCTGGTGAAATTTGTACCAATGACTTAATATCTGCGTCATGTGACTTCCTTAACACTGCTCACGCAGATTTCCGTGCCGCGATTGGTTTTACGAAACAATACACCGTGCGTACGTGAAAAGGCGGTTGGGCGAGGGATTCCTGTATTGTACGACTTTGTAATGGGGGCCTGAAATAAATCGTTGGATGCAGCGCTAAAATCTTTTTTATTCGGTGCCGTTTTGTCGTCCTTGTCCGCAACATGCCTCGAGACAACTCGAGTTAAACATTGTTTTTTATTTCCCACCCGACACAGGTGACTATGCATCAATTCAAATCGATTCTTAATCTTGTCCCGTTCCCATGACGTGCACGTACGTCACCAGTTCTTCCGATCATGTTCCGTTTACGTCGTCGGAACGAAATCGATTCCGCATGGAATCTACAGTAACAGGCCGTGCCATGGGACGGCGTGTGGCACAGTTTGGCGCCAGCTATCATAGCAGCTCTGCCTCCAAGTAAAATGAACGCTGAACCGCTTTTGCGCGTTCCGAGGTTTGAGCGGTGAATGCGACCCACCCCGCAACATTGCAGTGTGTGACGATGCATCGATGAAAATATATTCTCAAATCTTGGCAGGCCATGCATGTTAGAACTTTTAATGTAAGATATGTAAAGCGGTTATCAGCCATGATTAATCCACTGCTGGTTGGAGGCCTGCCCAAGCCATCACCGTGTCTACCCATTTCAACCGCCGCGCCGGGAGATCCAATTGTAACCGATGTCCTCTGGATATCTCGCTAACCGTTACACGGCATCCCCTGAGCATTTTTGTATTTTGCGGTTTCCCCAATTAAAAAAAAAAAAACGGCGACCGTGACATCACCGCAGAGTCGATCGTCAAGGACTATGACGACAATCCCAACGTGCCATTGGGCGCAAACTTGTAAGCAGACCGCTCCCCGAGTTCTCACGGCGACTTCAACGCGAGGAACCCTGGCCACGGTCCTTGGGAGGTCATAGGAGGGTCGCCGCCGCCGCCTCCGCCGCCTCCGCCGCCTCCGCCGCCTCCGCCGCCTTCCGCGCGTGAGCCTGCTGGTGGTGCCTGAAGTCTGCGTGCTCCTCGAACACCAGGCCGCACACCTTGCAGCACGAGGGCCGGTCGCGCGTGTGCGTGTTCTGGTGGATCTTGAGGCTGGAGTACCACGAGAAGGAGCGGTCGCACACCGCGCAGCGGTACGGTTTCTCGCCCGTGTGTATGCGCTGGTGGTTCTTGAGGTCGCCGGGGAGCGCGAACGCTCGACCGCACAAGGCGCATCGGTGCGGCCGCTCGCCCGTGTGCGTCCGCTGGTGCCGCTTGAGGCTGCAGTTCTGGGAGAAGGCGCGCCCGCACACGGCGCATCGGTGCGGCTTCTCGCCCGTGTGCGTCAGGCGGTGGACGTCCAGGATGCGGCGCTGCGCGAACGCCTGACCGCAGATGTCGCACGACAGCGCCGCGACGCCGCTCTTGCCGCCGCCCGCCTGCTGCAGCTGCTGCGCGAGCACCAGCTCCTGATCGGTGCCGCGGTCCACCGGTAGCCCGAAACAGCCGCCGCGCTGGAGTAACCCCAGGTGCAGCCCGCTCGCCGTGGCGGCGGGGGGACCCTGCTTGTATTGGGACTCGGCGAGCGGTTGGGTGGCGTACTCGGAAATGGTGTTTTCGTCCGGCATCCCCTCGGTCGTTCTTTTCTTCTGCTGCTGCTGCCGCTGCCGCTGCCGCTGCCAAGGGGGTTGGTGGCCATCGACATTCTCCTCGGTGCCCTCATCATCGCCATCCCGCCGTTTGGCACGCGGGCGGGCTTTGCCGGTCGCAAGCAGCGAGGTCACGTCCTGGATGATGAATTCCGAGTGGCCCTTCCCGACGCAACTGCCTGCAAAAGTAACAAAACATCGGAAGGAAAGCCAAGTACGAGCCTTGTTAGTACCCGGATGGTAGATTGCCTGTCAGGGCGCTGTAGGGTTGGGATGTTTAGCCGTGTCCTTATTATGACGATCGCGTGAGGAGCCGCACAGCCAGGACTTGCCGCGTCTTTAACGATCTACGTTCCCTTCTTGACCTCTCTTCGTGGCCGCGCTCGTGGGCCTTGCAAGTGCGGCCACGAATCCCAAACCATCGGCCGCATTGCAAACACCCACTGCCGAGAACTCCACTCCTTTAGGGGAAGAATGGGCAAGATCCACTCCGATTCTGAGCAATTGAGTGGATAACAAATCAAGATAATTACACCTTTAATCTGCCGTTATGAAGCCGTACGAAAGAGGAAGTCAACCCACTCCTGGAAAGTACGCCATCACTCCCCCCACCCCCCCTTCTCTCCCGCCTCAACCTCCCCTTTGTTACCTGCACGTTCTGCCGGGTTGACGGGCGCCGCCTCTCCCACGATGATCTCCTCCCAGGCTGCCCCGTGGTTGCTCAAATTGTTGTCTCCTGGCGCCGTCCACGGGATTTCTGCGACTGGAATCGACGCAAGGTGGCGGCACCTCAGTTGGTACACTGCCGCGCGTGCGGCGGAAAAGCTCGCGGCAACGCGGTTTCACCCAAAGCATGTTTTCGGCTGGACCGCGGCTTTACTTAACGGAGGTAGGCCTTACCAGGTAAGGCCCACTGAGCTCTGCGGCTCTTTGTCAGACGCGACCCGGGGCCACGAAACGGTAGCTCATCCAAGCGGCTTATCACGTGGAAATGTAAAGCAGCCAAATACTCCAAACGGACGTTTCTAAAATGTGTAGGGGGAAAAAAAAACGGAGGACCCGGAGGAAAGATCCACGCAGCCACAGGGAGAACATGCAAACTCCAAATATATATATATTTATCGGGCGTCAGGGTCGGGATCAAATCCACGACCTCCTGCATACCAGGCGAGGTAGTTAACATCTCGCCACCGTGGCGAGTGAAGACAAGTTTCCGAGTACGCACGCAGTTTAAGCGAGATCTGTCATTTACTGAGGACATGTGGTTTCTGATTCTCGTCGCACCATGCGAGCAGTCTGCAACGGTGGGGGGGCATGTGCCTTTCACGATAGATTGGTGCGATAACCAACATTACATAAGGGGAATGTTTGCCATTGCTCATCAGCCGATCCGATGACGTCGGTTTGTGCTCACGTTTAGAATTCTCAACAGGTGAATCTCGCGAAAAGTGAAGTACTCTGGACGTCCACCTGGCCCTACACAGGAAGAAGGTTCTTTAAGCCAGAGCTTATTCCCACACTAAGTTGGGCCCCTGTGCAGCCGAGGGAAGAAGGGCTCCAGAGAAAGGAACGGAGACGGGGAGAAAGAGACAAGAGACATATTGAGTACCCAGTGGTGGAGCGTACAGAGATGCAGGGGGGCGAAGACAATGGATAGAGACACACAGCGGGAAAACGGGACGCGGAAACACTCGGGAGGCAAAGGGAGGCACGGTGAGCAAAGCGCTTGACTCACCGTCGCAGATCTCCATCTTCACCCCGTGCCACGTGTGAATGGCACCGAGGTTGGGCTGCCCGTGAGAGTCGTCTCCTCCCTCGTCTGTAGGGCAGCACAGTGGCGACACGTTAACCACCTCCTCTCATGGCAGAAGTTCATACATTTTGGTTACCGAAAGAGCCAAAGAGCATGGATTCCTGCAGTCACGAAAGCTTCAAATCAAGATAGAAGGAGGTCGTGTCTCTTTCCCTCTCCCTCCGATTTTTCCCTCCACATTTAGAATCAACGTCACGCGCTTAAGAGTATCTGGCTGTTGCTGTAAATTTCCACACGGTGATAAGCCACTTTTGTTGAGCTATCATTTGTGGCCAGGTCGCTTCTGAGAAAGAGCTACGTAGCTCAGTTGGGCCTCACCTGGTAAAATAAAAAATAGTTTATAGTTTCACAGTTTTATGCAAGAGTGATAATCATCACAATCTTTTACTTATCCAGAAAATTATGACTGGGTCTCTCGACATTATTTCTCTGGACATGCAATCCACACGTCGATTGGCACTATCGTGTGTTGTGGCGGAGAGCGTGGCTTACTCCCACCTCTTCCAATAAACAAATTCTGGCTAGCATGGCAGAGTATACCCATTACCCACTGCAAGTGCTTTCTAGAGCAGTGTTTCTTTGCGGGGGGGGGGGGGGGCACTTTCGGCTATAAGATATCATCGTGATGAAAAAAATGATAGGTTGTATCCTTTCTGGCAATAAAACAGATGTTAAGATGTTCAATCACTCGATGCCATGCAAAGGGTACCCATTTTGGTGTTTGAACATCACCTGTTTTATCGCCAGAAAGGGGAAAAACGATTCAGATTTTTTTTTCATCATTTTTATACTGGCAAATAGTTCCCACAGATATAAGGCATCATCAGTGTGAGGTTTGACAGCACGACGATGATGGGGGTGTTTTCACACGTTTGTGTATTGTCTGTCGGGGGCCGCCAGTGGCCCGCAAGGCTTGCAATGGAGACCGCTACTCTCGAGCGTCGCGTGGAGCCTCTTGTGCCGGCGGTGGTGTAAACGAGAGTTATATTGCAGCATTAAAGGCAACCGTGGCGAAGGACCCTTACCGCGAGGCTCCCTTGAATCCAATGTCGCTTCTTTATCCGGGTTCTGGTACTCGTCGGTACATTTGACAGCACGATCTGCAAGGGCAGAGGAAACCCGCAGGGCTGAATGTTGTGCACAGGAGACAAAATCGCCACGAACGCCACCCGGTCTCGTCGGATTTTGGAAGCTAAGCCGAGTTGAGTCTGGTCAGCACTGGGATGGGAGACTACGTACGAATCTTCTTTGGTTCTTTCGGTAAAGTCACGTAGAATGATAATAAAATAATAAATTGATAAAATAAAATAACACAATAATATTCTCACGACGTTTCGGCCACAACACAAGCGGCCTTCATCAGGTGAAGGGGGGCGAGACTGTCTGGTAGGACAGCGCTGGAGTGAAAGAGCCACGTTCAGATACGGCCTTTAAGCTGCTGCAGAAATAGAGCGTGTACCTGCCGTGGTGCTGAAATTTGAGGCAGGTACACGCTCTATTTCTGCAGCAGCTTAAAGGCCGTATCTGAACGTGGCTCTTTCACTCCAGCGCTGTCCTACCAGACAGTCTCGCCCCCTTCACCTGATGAAGGCCGCTTGTGTTGTGGCCGAAACGTCGTGAGAATATTATTGTGTTATTTTATTTTATCAATTTATTATTTTATTCTCATTCTACGTGACTTTACCGAAAGAACCAAAGAAGATGAATCATTGCAGTCACGAAAGCTTTAAATCGAAACTACGTACGAATGCCACGTGTCCTTGAGCACAGGGCGCAAGGTTGCCTGCTGAGGGCAGTACAGCATTAGATCATTAGTAGCCTCTCTGTGCAGGGTAAGAGACGGACAATGGACTAAGGGATGGAGCTCAGTCTCGGTTGGTTTGCCATGAGCCAGGAGGCGAGATGTTAACTACCTCGCCTGGCATATAGGTCGTGGGTTCAATCCCGACCGTGACACCTGCTGTATATTTGGAGTTTGTGTATCTTCCCTGTGGTCACGTGGATATTTCTCCGGGTCCTCCGGTTTATCCCTCCACATTTAGAAACATGCATTTAGGGTATTTGGCTGCTATACATTTCCACATGATAAGACACTGTGTTGAGCTATCATTTGTGGCCAGGTTACTTCTGAAAAAGAGCTATGTAGCTCAGTGGGCCTTAGCTGGTAAAATAAAAAAAATAGTTTAGCTTAATTTACATTCCACGTTATGGCAGGGGCCAAAGTATTACAAAGAACACTAGAAGACTGCTAGAATCTAAATTTTAATGTTTTTGTTACCATCCCCTGTGGCGAGCTTTTCTTGATCAGCCATCAGGTCCTCATGTTCGATCTCTGCACCGAGTGGACTCGAACCACCATCGCCGATCCCTTGGCCGTCAATGACTCCCAGCCTCCTCACGGACAGCAGCAGCTCCCGGCTCAAGCCGCTGAACAGCGCGAGCAGCACGTCCACCAGGCCTCCCAGCGTCACGTCGCCACAGGGGGAGGAGGCGGCCGCGGCATCGTCGTCGTCGTGGGGCTCGGCGTCCCGCAGGGCCTTCACCACCTGCCGCAGCACGGCGTAGAAGCCGAAGGGCAGGCGGTCGCGCGCCGCGGCCAGCAGCTCGGCCCGCACGAGGCCGTCCCCGACGCAGGCGCGCAGGACCCCGTAGTCCCGGATACCCAGCTCCGAGTCCATGGCCCGGGCCACCTCCTGGTTCACGCCCTGCGCCTCCAGCCACGCCGGGAAGTCCCCGCTCGGCTCCGGCACCGGAGTGGCCACCGCGCACGCCATGCTGGTGGGATGGGTAGAGGGAGAGAAAGCGTGTCGAGTCATAAAATATATGCAGTGAGGGGAAAAAAGTATTTGATCTCCTGCTGATTTTGTACGTTTGCTCACTGACAAAGAAATGATCAGTCTATAATTTTAATGGTAGGTTTATTTGAACAGTGAGAGACAGAATAACAACAACAAAATCTAGAAAAACGCATGCCAAAAATGTTATAAATTGATTTGCATTTTAATGAGGGAAATAAGTATTTGACCCCCTCTCAATCAGAAAGATTTCTGGCTCCCAGGTGTCTTTTATGCAGGTAACAAGCTGAGATTAGGAGCACACTCTTAAAGGGAGCGCTCCTAATCTCAGCTTGTTACCTGTATAAAAGACACCTGTCCACAGAAGCAATCAATCAATCAGATTCCAAACTCTCCACCATAGCCAAGACCAAAGAGCTCTCCAAGGATGTCAGGGACAAGATTGTAGACCTACACAAGGCTGGAATGGACTACAAGACCATTGCCAAGCAGCTTGGTGAGAAGGTGACAACAGTTGGTGCGATTATTCGCAAATGGAAGAAGCACAAAAGAACTGTCAATCTCCCTCGGCCTGGGGCTCCATGCAAGATCTCACCTCGTGGAGTTGCAATGATCATGAGAACGGTGAGGAATCAGCCCAGAACTACACGCGAGGATCTTGTCAATGATCTCAAGGCAGCTGGGACCATAGTCACGAAGAAAACAATTGGTAACACACTACTCCGTGAAGGACTGAAATCCTGCAGCGCCCGCAAGGTCCCCCTGCTCAAGAAAGCACATATACATGCCCGTCTGAAGTTTGCCAATGAACATCTGAATGATTCAGAGGACAACTGGGTGAAAGTGTTGTGGTCAGATGAGACCAAAATGGAGCTCTTTGGCATCAACTCAACTCGTCGTGTTTGGAGGAGGAGGAATGCTGCCTATGACCCCAAGAACACCATCCCCACCGTCAAACATGGAGGTGGAAACATTATGCTTTGAGGGTGTTTTTCTGCTAAGGGGACTAGACAACGTCACCGCATCAAAGGGATGATGGACGGGGCCATGTACCGTCAAATCTTGGGTGAGAACCTCCTTCCCTCAGCCAGGGCATTGAAAATGGGTCGTGGATGGGTATTCCAGCATGACAATGACCCAAAACACACGGCCAAGGCAACAAAGGAGTGGCTCAAGAAGAAGCACATTAAGGACCTGGAGTGGCCTAGCCAGTCTCCAGACCTTAATCCCATAGAAAATCTGTGGAAGGAGCTGAAGGTTCGAGTTGCCAAACGTCAGCCTCGAAACCTTAATGACTTGGAGAAGATCTGCAAAGAGGAGTGGGACAAAATCCCTCCTGAGAGTGTGCAAACCTGGTGGCCAACCACAAGAAACGTCTGACCTCTGTGATTGCCAACAAGGGTTTTGCCACAAAGTACTAAGTCATGTTTTGCAGAGGGGTCAAATACTTATTTCCCTCATTAAAATGCAAATCAATTCATAACATTTTTGACAAATACGTTTTCTTGATCTTTTTTTGTTGTTATTCTGTCTCTTACTGTTCAAATAAACCTACCATTAAAATTATAGACTGATCATTTCTTTGTCAGTGGGCAAATGTACAAAATCAGCAGGGGATCAAATACTTTTTTCCCTCACTGTACATGGGTTGGATTCACATCACATGTCTTCAGACAAAATCGCACTGAAGTGTTACTAAATACTAATCCTGATCCTGAATACAAAATACATTTCGCCAAAGCAAAATCACTGCACGGCGATCAAAAGGTTGAACACTCGACTGTGAAATGAGAATTCAAAACACGACGTTAAACTGTTAAGTCGCGACGAATGTGACCAAATGTGGGTGACAGGCACACGCAGCGATGAAAGCGAGCGATTGAATCCTCATCCAGCATGGACGATGAATTCTCGAGGACTGAAATGCTTTGGCAGCAACAGGTAAATTTAAACCCTGGCCCACAGGCTGGAGGACATGGCTACACTACACATTACACTTTACAAGACTGTACACACTACGCACCAGTCTACAATACAGTGCATACAGTACTACTCACAAAGAGACCCACAGACTACTCACACAGAGACCCATAGACTACTCACACAGAGACCCACAGACTACTCACACAGAGACCCATAGACTACTCACACAGAGGCCCATAGACTGCTCACACAGAGACCCACAGACTGCTCACACAGAGACCCATAGACTGCTCACACAAAGATCCACAGACTACTCATACCGAGACCCATAGACTACTCACACAAAGATCCACAGACTACTCACACAGACACCCATAGACTACTCACACAGAGACCCATAGACTGCTCACACAAAGATCCACAGACTACTCATACCGAGACCCATAGACTACTCACACAAAGATCCACAGACTACTCACACAGACACCCATAGACTACTCACACAGAGACCCATAGACTGCTCACACAAAGATCCACAGACTACTCATACCGAGACCCACAGACTACTCACACAGAGACCCATAGACTACTCACACAGAGACCCATAGACTACTCACACAGAGACCCATAGACTACTCACACAGAGACCCATAGACTACTCACACAGAGACCCATAGACTACTCGCACAGAGACCCACAGACTACTCACACAGAGACCCATAGACTACTCACACAGAGACCCACAGACTACTCACACAGAGATCCATAGACTACTCACACAGAGACCCACAGACTACTCACACAGAGACCCATAGACTACTCACACATTGATTTAAAAATATCTAATCAAAGAATCGTCTTTTTTTTCACCTGAAGACGATCGCTTGGTGCTGCTATCTTAACGTCGTGATAGTGTTCTTATTTTGATTTCATTATTATTATAATTTTTTCTTTTTCCATCGAGGTGGCTTTATACCGAAAGACCCAACAATGAACACGAATTCCTGCAGTAACGAAAGCTTAAAGTCATTCACATCTTAGTTCGGATTCAAACGCAACGCGATTACCACCACCACCCCACGCCCGCCACACACACAAAGATCCCCCGTATAGTCTTAACAGACTGTAGGGGCAAGTGCTGTTAGCGAGCAGCACCTATGAAGGCCGGAAACGGTACACGAGGGGGTGGGTGGCCAGCACCACGCCCGACCGCCTTTGTCTCACCTAGTGGCGATGTTTTACACACCGCACCAGGTGACTCATTTGAGGCTGAGTCGACCTAGGGGAGGCCCGGGACCGGTTCAGATAATCGTCACCGGTGTTGGCCGTTAGCGGTAATCGAACTCAAGTCGCCGGGTTCATAGCGTAGCGTAGCGCTAACCGCTACACCACCGCTCCCCAACAACAACCGCCATTCGCCACTAAGTGGCGGTGACGTCACCACGACGCTTGTGCCAGGCCATGTGCACCTTGAGGCCACGTGAAGTGTCGAACGCCCGCTGGCAGGAAGTCACGGGGTAGACCCAAGTGCCACGGGTCGACTGACTGAGACGACTGGCTGGTGCACCACCTGTGCCCCCTACTGTGCCAACCTGATGTGCTTTAGCCACCCGGCGCTCCGCTCGTTGTTGTGAGCGTCGCTCCTCTGCCCTCCGTTGTTGTTAGAGGGCGACTGCCTCCAACTGCCCAGTAGCGTCCTTCACGAGCCTCCTCCACAGAGGCCGATCTTGACACCGCTGGTACCAGTCATCGGCAAGTCCACTCAGCTCCACGTCCTCCTGTACCACATCATTCCATCTCTTCTCTAGCCCGTGCCTCCTGTACCACGTCACTCCATCTCTTCTCTAGCCCCGTGCCTCCTGTACCACATCACTCCATCTCTTCTCTAGCCCGTGCCTCCTGTACCACATCACTCCATCTCTTCTCTAGCCCCATGCCTCCTGTACCACATCAATCCATCTCTTCTCTAGCCCGTGCCTCCTGTACCACGTCACTCCATCTCTTCTCTAGCCCCGTGCCTCCTGTACCACATCACTCCATCTCTTCTCTAGCCCGTGCCTCCTGTACCACATCACTCCATCTCTTCTCTAGCCCCGTGCCTCCTGTACCACATCACTCCATCTCTTCTCTAGCCCGTGCCGCCTGTACCACATCACTCCATCTCTTCTCTAGCCCCGTGCCTCCTGTACCACATCACTCCATCTCTTCTCTAGCCCCGTGCCTCCTGTACCACATCACTCCATCTCTTCTCTAGCCCCGTGCCTCCTGTACCACATCACTCCATCTCTTCTCTAGCCCGTGCCGCCTGTACCACATTACTCCATCTCTTCACTAGCCCGTGCCTCCTGTACCGCATCACTCCATCTCTTCGCTAGCCCGTGCCGCGCCCGTTTAGCCCCCTCGATCCGGCCGAACAAAAGCTGTTTCGGCATGCTGTGGCTGGGCATGCGGGCTTCATGACCCAGCCAACGCAGCCTTGCCTGCCGGAGGAGCTCACCGATGGGACTTTGCCCAGATCTTTCAAGGATTTGTGAGCTCCTCACAAAATCCAGCCTGGTTAAACCCAGGATGGATCGTAGGCAGGCCAGCCTAAATGTTTCTAACCGGCGAAGATGTTCCATTAGGGGGGGTCCACGTTTTGCAAGCGTAGAGAAGGGAGGGAATGACCGTGGCCGAGAAGACCTGAAGCTTAGTGCGGAGCGACAGACCAGGTAGCTTCCACACAGCGTTACGCAACCGATGAAAAGATAATGCCGCTCGACTGATTCGGAGACCTCTGATGTTAAACTGGAGCCGGTCATGAGCACACTGCCCAGGTATGGGAAACTCTCCACTCTCTCCACAACTGCCCCATCACCGATTGGGAGTTGTGGGGGTGGAGTGTCCGATGGTACAAAATACCCAGGCAGGGTATTTTGGTGGGGCTGATGGTAAGGCCCCACCTCTTAGTGGCACGCTCCAGTCTCAGCAGCAGCGTCTCCAACTCCTCCTCTGACTGAGCAGCTATTACCAAATCATCGGCATACATAACGTGGTTGAGCAATAGGGAGCCATCCCTTGATCGCACCCGGGCATCGATCAGCCTCCCATTATATCTGTACCATATGGAGATTCCCCCGGTACAGCTATTGAAGGTCTTCACGAACTACGTGGTCAAAATAGATGTTAAATAACGTGTGAGCCAGAGGACATCCCTGTCGCACCCCAAGGTGTACAGGGGAATGGCTCCGACTCCCGGCCACGTAGTTTTACCCCTGGCCGGGATTCAGTAGTCCGGCAAAACAACCCCCTACCTCCTCGCGGTGCCGGACGTGGACAGTGCTCTGGGGGGGAGGGCCAATTCCGATTGACGTCTGTGACCACCACAGTGGCTAAACGGGGGGCTCTGGACGGGTGCGAGGGGCTGGTAACCCCTTCACCTTCAATTAATTACCACTAAACCACGAGTTACCGCTCCACACACACACACACACGTGCACACACACATATACACACATATACACACACAGTCATTCCCACGACTCACCTCCGAATTGTTTCAAAGGAAAACTTTTAAACAACAACCTAATGACCCGAGGCAGAGATCCAGGCACCCATCGAGCAGTGGAAAGATCAAAGTAAGAGGTGGGGAGGAGGAGGAGGAGGAGTGGTGGTGGTGGTAGTGGTGGTGGGAGGCTTCCAAACGCACGCACCTCGGGCGAGAAGTGGCAGGGGCCGTGGGCGCGCATCGAGGCCGCTGCCGATTCCGAGGCCTAGGGACCGCGGCCACGCAGCGAAGGTTGATGCCTCCCTTTGCCTAATGGGGGAGGGGAGGGTGGGAAGGGAGGGGCTGGGAGGCAGGGTGGGGAGGGGCTGGGTGGGGAGGGTGGGGAGGGGCTGGGTGGGGAGGGAGGGGCTGGGTGGGGAGGGTGGGGAGGGGCTGGGTGGGGAGGGTGGGGAGGGGCTGGGTGGGGAGGGGCTGGGTGGGGAGGGAGGGGCTGGGTGGGGAGGGTGGGGAGGGGCTGGGTGGGGAGGGTGGGGCTGGGTGGGGAGTTGGCTGGGTGGGGAGGGTGGGGAGGGAGGGGCTGGGTGGGGAGGGTGGGTGGGTCTGAGTGGGGGGTGGTAGAGTTGGGGCTGGGTGTGGAGGGGCTGGTCACCCCGTGGTGCCCCCCTTATAAAACTCAACGTTTAACCTACTCACGCCGGCTTGTGCCCGCCCTCACAGTCGGGCATATTGTGCGGAACACACCACGTGGTGCCGCCGTTGTTGTTGACCCTGGCCATTGACCGAGCAACCCGTCGTTCCTACCAGCTCCCTCCGCAGGAGAATGTGTTTTAACTTAATTGTTCTATCTTGATTTGAAGCTTTCGTGACTGCAGGAATTACCCCTTTTGGTTCTTTCGGTAAAGTCACGTGGAAAGAAAATAAATTAAATAATGATAATAGGGTTCCCCCCCCCCTTTTTTTCTGGCAACAAAACAATTGTGTTAAGACGTCAAAACACCAAACTGAAACCTTTTACAAGGGATCGTGTCACTGCATTCTAACCACAAGTATTGTGCTTAGAATGCAAACACCGTCTTGAGACGAGGCTCAAAAGAAAGATGTCTCTGATGTGGACCAATCAGTTCTAGTGGTGTCGACTTTACCGAAAGAACCAATAATATGAATCCCTGCAGTCACGAAAGCTTTAAATCAAAATCTTAACACCTGTTTTGTTACCAGAAAAAATGGGGAAAAAAACTATTCTATTTTGGCATGATGTAGATTCATTTTTTATTTAAAGATTTCGTGACTGCAGTGATTCGTATTCTTGGTTCTTTCGGTAAAGTCACGTTGAAGTGAAACAATAAACTAATAAAATATATTTTTACTTTTCGATTTAAAGCTTTCGTGACTGCAAGGATTCATCTTCTTTGGTTCTTTCGGTAAAGTCACGTAGAATGAGAATCAAATGATAAATTGATAAAATAAAATAACACAATAATATTCTCACGACGTTTCGGCCACAACACAAGCGGCCTTCATCAGGTGAAGGGACGAGACTGTCTGGAGGACAGCGCTGGAGTGAAAAAGCCACGCTCAGATCGCGACCTTTAAGCTGTGTGAGAAGAAACAAAGCACCTTGACAAAGGAATTAGCATAGAATTTAGCATTGAAATGGCTGAGTGATTAGCTTGTGACTGGTCACAGAAATGGCTAATGGTATGGTTTACAACATGGAGTATAACAGCACCTCGCAGCTGTCTCTCTCCCTCTCCTCTGTTCCGACCATGGATGAACTCGTCCGTCTGAACGGGACCCGTAGCTATCCGTGTTGCTAAAGTTGAGGGTAAGAATCCACCCATTTTTTTTCGCCATATAGCATTGTGATATATAACGACTTATTGTTGGTAGCTTAGCTGATTGGAGAATATATAGAGTTTATTGATAACATTGAGGTAAGTTATATTTTAGTTTTTATTGGTTCACTATATAGTATTCATTATATATTGTAGTGTATACCCAGTTACTGTGAATAGCTCAGATGTGTAGGCCTTGACTTCAACATAGCCATTTCTGTGACCAGTCACAAGCTAATCACTCAGTTATTTCAATGCTAAATTCGCCTAGTTATTTCAATGCTAAATTCTCCTGTTTGATTTGTACTAGGTGCCTCTGTGAATGTGTATGCTCTGACTTTAACATAGCTATTTCTGTGACCAGTCACAAGCTAATCACTCAGCCATTTCAATGCTAAATTCTATGCTAATTCCTTTGTCAAGGCGCTTTGTTTCTTCTCACACAGCTTAAAGGTCGCGATCTGAGCGTGGCTTTTTCACTCCAGTGCTGTCCTCCAGACAGTCTCGTCCCTTCACCTGATGAAGGCCGCTTGTGTTGTGGCCGAAACGTCGTGAGAATATTATTGTTATTTTATTTTATCAATGTATTATTTTATTCTCATTCTACGTGACTTTACCGAAAGAACCAAAGAAGATATATTTTTATTAATATGTATTTTATTATTTTATTAATAAAATATATATTTTCAACTTGACTTTCCCTTTATTTCTTTTTGATATTTCTTCCTTTTATAAAATATATATTTTATTGTTTCCCTTCAACGTGACTTTACCGAAAGAACCAAGAATATGATGTAGATTGTTTTGATTTGTTTTCTCTAGAATTTCGTATTTGTTTTGGTTTGTTTCGTTTTTTATTTGTTTTGGTTTGCTTTGATATTTTTTTCCACCTTAATTTCTTTTTCTAATGTTTTGCTTCGTCGTCTAAAGAACGTTTTTGGTTTAAAAAAAAACCCGAACCCATCTCTTGATGAGCGGTTATAAAAAAAAATTCACCGCTGCCCCTAAAGTTTCGAATCGGCAGCACGTGGCGACACGGGCCGGGTGGTCGTGGTGGTGGTGTTGGTGGTAGTGTTGGTGGTCGTGGTGGTAGTGGTGGTGGTGGTGGTCGTGGTGGTAGTGGTGGTGGTCGTGGTGGTAGTGTTGGTGGTAGTGGTGGTCGTGGTGGTAGTGTTGGTGGTAGTGGTGGTAGTGGTGGTGGTAGTGTTGGTGGTAGTGGTGGTGGTAGTGGTGGTAGTGTTGGTGGTAGTGGTGGTGGTGGTCGTGGTGGTGGTAGTGGTGGTCGTGGTGGTAGTAGTGGTGGTGGT